TGAATTAACAGGCACTAGGGACTTTGTATTTGATCTGAAGTGGGCCCCTTTCGATCGCGGGGCCCTGGGCACTAGCCCAAAGTGCCCACTGGGAAAGACGGGTCTAGCGAATACTCAAACAGAGCAGCGAATGATCTAACAGATGACATACCTTTAGCAGCACAGAAACTGGATTACTCGGTTGGCATTTGTTGGTATTAGCTGAAGAAACGTTAATATTCTCTGGTGATGGTTGTGCATCCAGACAAATCCATTGTCCATCTACTTTAAGAACGAAAGAATGTTATGGTCAATATTTACAAAAATCGTTTCGTGGACGAATCTATTTTAGTCTTATCAGAATCATAGTCTTCTTTGCTCTTGTTTTTGCTCTAATATTTCATTTTGTTTTCTACAGTCCCGACGTGGTAGAATTTGTTTTCTTAGAGTTTTCTTTGCCCATATTTTTACTCAATTATTTCCTAACATGAGACGTGAAGTGGTCTAATGACCACAGCATCGGTGCAACCATCGAATCCAAGGTGAAAAACTGCAGCTAGAAAACTAGGCCTCCTAAATAAGGTGAAGCGATATTTCGCGCCTTGAAAGCTTTTAACTCTTAATAAAGCTCAGGCTTTGGAATGGCTTAATCAAATATTTAGGTACTTACTGCAGTCCATTGCACTAGTACCTAAGGAACGTACCAGTAGAATTATAGGTAGATGAGGCCGCCAATTTTGGCGCGACGGTGACGTAGAAAAATAGTCGTCGAAAATTGTGGAAACATGTTGGCCCGAAAATTCCCTCATTGTGCGGATCAGGTCAAGATAACCTAAGATAACCCTATTCAAAGCGTATTGTCAGGGTATGTACGCGGAAAGTCTGTGGTTCCGATATACGAAAAAATCCATGGACATTTTGCGCGTGCAATACAATAATATTTTCAGGATGATATTGGGACTGCCCCGCTTCTGCAGTGCCTCCGGAATGTTTGCTGAAATAGGAACCATGCCGTCTTGCGGAAAAAGTTGCATCACTGATGTGTAGAGTGCGGAGCAGTTACAACACCATTCTGAGAGTCGTGGCAGGGCAGGGATCCGCATGCACTATTTTGGAGGAATTCAGTGGGAATGATGACTGAAATAGAAGTTAATTATTCTTCCTAGTGTCGCTCACGCTTAGTGCCTCATACAAGGTAAGGTAACTAATAAGGTACATGACCTATTGAAAAACAAAAATGTTCTAAATGTGTGAATACTTACCATAGGCTACTAACACTTAGTTATAAGTTGTATACTAACATATGGATCTGTGTTGTCTGCCAATAAATGATATTATTATTATTAAAATTATAAAGTTTGATGTATACCAAGCCTGACAAAAATAACATTCTAAACTAACAGTAATACCTTACAACTAACTTGGAAAGGTATTCATTTGGCATTGTGGGATAACTACAATGCGAAGAGATGGCGCTGCCTTGCAGACTAAGGCTAAGAAAATTCAACACGGCCGTCAGGGCTGCGGTAGCATAATGGTCAGTGCATTCGCCCGGATAGCGAAGGGTGCGGGTTCTGGTCCCGTCTGCTGCCTGGTCCGCGTGGAATTTTTCTATAAAGTAAAATTTTCTTTAGATTTCAACATGTAGCAGGTAAATGCTTGAAAAAATCTAAAATATAATTACCTATAATTGCTGCTTGTTGTCTAGGTATTCATTTGACATTGTGGGTTAACTACAATGTGAAGAGATGGCGCTGCCTTGCAGCCTAAGGCTAGAGAAAATTCGACGTCAGAGACGCGGTAGCATAATGGTCAGTGCTTTCGCCCGGATAGCGAAGGGTTCGGGTTCTGGTCCCGTCTGCTGCCTGGTCCGCGTGGAATTTTTTTCTTGTAAAATTTTCTTTTTATATAGGTATCGTTGTTCAGGTCTTCAGTGAAAGTTTAACATGTTTGTTGTGATTGACTTAATAATTTTTAGCGCTCACCGCATTAGTTTCAAACAGTTTTCTTATTAGTTTCTTGCATAGTTTATTACATTTTACTATATCTGTGTATATAGAAGAAACAGACGAGAGAAAATTCAAAACAGCAAAATATCAAAATTACTCTAAAGCTAAAATTAATTTTCACCAAACCATTTTAGTGGGCAAGTCGCGACGAAGGTTTTGCCACGAAAATTCTTGGTAACTCGAGTGAAAGGTGCGTTTGCCTTTCTCAAAAAGAAGATCTAAATTCTAGAGAAACACTCCCAACTCTGAGAGCAATCTTGAGTATGACCTTGAGAGATGATGTTCTATATCTATTAAGCATCTCAAGATTGTACTCAATATTGGTGTCAGCAGGGCCATCTTTCACCTATTGGAGGCCCTGGGCATATTAGGATAATGGAGCCCCTGTAACTTTGATGTGGATTATGACTTGAAATGCAGCAAGTTAAATAAAAGCTAGTAAGTTTGTATTGTAGTCAGTAATTTAGGTTCGATTTCATCCAAATTATATAAGTTTTTTGGTAATAAATATTGGTTATCGTTTGGTGATCTGTACCCTTAGTACGAGTTTGAGCTCACGAAAACTATCATAGTTTTTGTAATTGTAAATAATGTTTCTATGTCCATTTTGGTGAAAAGTGTCCAAATATACTTAAAATTTAAGAAGACACAAATGATTTAATGACAGAATTTAAACACTGTTTATTTGTATTGAAACGAAAACAATAAAATCAACGAGTGCGAGCTCACGAAAACTATCATAGTTTTCGTATTTGTAAAACTCGTACTAAGGGTACTGACATGAACTAGGGACTTTGTATTTGATCTGAGGGGGCCCTAGCTGCCTGGTCCGCGTGGAATTTTTCTAGTAAAATTTTCTTTAGATTTCAACATATAGCAGGTAAATGCTTGAAAAAATCTAAAATATAATTACCTATAATTGCTGTTTGTTGTCTAGGTATTCATTTGACATTGTGGGTTAACTACAATGTGAAGAGATGGCGCTGCCTTGCAGCCTAAGGCTAGAGAAAATTCGACGTCAGAGACGCGGTAGCATAATGGTCAGTGCTTTCGCCCGGATAGCGAAGGGTTCGGGTTCTGGTCCCGTCTGCTGCCTGGTCCGCGTGGAATTTTTTTCTTGTAAAATTTTCTTTTTATATAGGTATCGTTGTTCAGGTCTTCAGTGAAAGTTTAACATATTTGTTGTGATTGACTTAATAATTTTTAGCGCTCACCGCGTTACTTTCAAACAGTTTTCTTATCAGTTTCTTGCATAGTTCATTACATTTTACTATATCTGTGTATATAGAAGAAACAGACGAGAGAAAATTCAAAACAGCAAAATATCAAAATTACTCTAAAGCTAATAGTTATTTATTATACAAGAGTGGAAAGTTCCTTTTTAACCGCGTGCTCGATTTGGATGACCGAGCAAGCGAAGGATTCTAAAGTTGAATCACGAGCGCAGCGAGTGATTCTAAATTAGAATCCTGAGCGTCAGCGAGGGAAACAAACGAGCACAAGGTGAAAAATCTTTCCACTCGAGTGCAATACGTAACTTTTCATCCCACCTCAGCGAGGAAATGACAAAATGAAAAAGAAAACAATTTATAATGACAAAATATTTAAGCAATAAAACGTGAAAAACTAGAATGGCGCGAAGCACGCAAATAAAACAAAGAAACCAAGAAGGTTCCAAATTTAAATTTTTTCACAATTTAAAAAGTTCTAATCATAAATTTGGCACCATAGAGGTTACATTAAATAGGTTTAATGACGTTTTGAATTTACAATTATATTGAGTACTCATTATATGTGATGTTCTAAATTCAAATCTACTTTGCCGCTCAAGCGAATAAAATAGAATTTTCCAGCCAGATTTCGAAGCGCAAAATTACACTTTCCGAGGTGGTGGGATGAAAAATTAATTTTCACCAAACCATTTTAGTAGGCAAGTCGCGACGAAGGTTTTGCCACGAAAATTCTTGGTGACTCGAGTTAAAGGTGCGTTTGCCTTTCTCAAAAAGAAGATCTAAATTCTAGACAAACAATCCCAACTCTGAGAGCAATCTTGAGTATGACCTTGAGAGATGATGTTCTATATCTATTAAGCATCTCAAGATTGTACTCAATATTGGTGTCAGCAGGGTCATCTTTCACCTATTGGAGGCCCTGGGCATATTAGGATAATGGAGCCCCTATAACTTTAATGTGGATTATGACTTGAAATGCAGCAAGTTAAATAAAAGCTAGTAAGTTTGTATTGTAGTCAGTAATTTAGGTTCGATTTCATCCAAATTATATAAGTTTTTGGTAATAAATATTGGTTATCGTTTGGTGATCTGACATGAACTAGTGACTTTGTATTTGATCTGAGGGGGCCCTAGCGATCGCGGGGCCCTGGGCACTTGCCCAAAGTGCCCACTGGGCAAGACGGGTCTGGGTGTCAGAGTTGAGAGTGTTCTAATATTATGGGCAATACTATTTCGAAAACAGCGACATTGTCACGTACAGTCATGAACTTGCCTGAACTTTCTTTTCTATGTTAGATATGAATTTATACAGTTTTAAATGTATTAAAGGTATCTGTTTCATCAATCATCATCATCAACAGCCCATCTTAGTCCACTGCTGGACATAGGCCTCTCCAAATGCACGCCACTTAGATCGATCTTGGGCTACTCGCATCCAGCTCCTGCCAGCCACCTTGCGCAAATCGTCACTCCATCGCGCCCGAGGATCTGTTTAATCAAATAAAATTCACCGTTTAAATAACATCTGGTAGGAACCAGCATTTTCATCAAAAATAACGGAAGTTTCCACGTTAATAGCTTCCCCATTTCGTTAGAATATTAATAATAATTATTTTTTTCATGATGAAATCTTTTTAAAAGCCACTAGCCTACATATTTTCCTACCACCTCGACGACCCTACCACCTTGGCTGCGGTTGTCATGTACACAGTCCGACACAAACTGTAAACAAAACGAACGATCGATATACCTATGGGTAACCTCAGCCAGACCAAAAGCTCCGCAGCCTTCGCACCAATAGCTAGTGTTACAAATTGGAAATAAAAAAAAACTCAATTTTGACAAGCCATAATTTTACGCGGGAAATGTTCGCTGGCTGTGCGAGCGAGGGCGCGAATGAATAGTGCGGTAGTGTTATTGGACTGTTCAGGCCTCAATCTGTGGAACAACGTGGCGTCCTGTATGGAGAAATGGTTCGGTGATAAGCGGCTCTGGTTATTTGGTAACAACCTGCCGCTGTTGCCGAGGCGGTGAGTACCTTCATTGTATACGTGCTCAGTCTTTGTATAAAAAGCTAAACACCTAGAAAGCCGTCAAGGTAGGTGTAGCACTAGTGGAAAATATCCTACTACTAATATCATAGAAGTGAAACTTTGTATGTTTGTTATTGACGTGACAACGTCTTAAATTAGGTTGCGGCTGGGAGTCACTTATGAAAAAGTGTAACGCTCGGTAACGTTACGATGAGTCTCTCGTGTTAAGTTTAAGTTTACATGTACAATGTTTTAGTAAACAAAATATATTTCTATAGTTAAAATTTGTGCAATTCTTATTTTCATTCAATTCCTTGTTCCTATTGTGCAATTTAATTATATTCATATCAATAAATATTCTACCGAGAAAAAGACGTTGTCACGTAAAATCTTCGCCCGTAAAACCGACTTTACAGGCAACCATTTTTGTTACTCAATCACGTAAAAACGGCTAAAAGGATTGGGATGAAGGGACAATGGCGAAATATTTGTTGAAGTAAATCTTTAGCGTCTATATATATCATTAACAGAAATGTTAGTAAAATAATCTAAAAAGATTTATTAAACAATTGAGGAGGGTTGTCTTAGTCTGGAATTAAAAACTTAAAAAGGGAAACACAATTGACTATTTATGTTTTATTTTTATTGTGGCTTGGCATCATGGCTTTTGAGCCATTTATTTTAAGTGATTTTAGTGTTGAAATCAACTTTAAATATGTTGTTCGTATGTTTTGCATCGCTTTACGCTTAAACTGTATTTAATTATCTATCAAAAATAGCGGGAATCATTATTTTTCAATATTTTAGTGAAACCATAATAAATAATCTCCACAATACAAAAACAGTATGGCGCCAATTGTAACGCAAAAAACTATAACTATCTCCGTCATGCTTGTCATCGAATTGTTATTGATATTGTTATCAATAACATTGCTTGTGCAAGTGCATGCGTATTGCAAAGATTTAAATCGGCGTTTTATGTTTTTACTGAGATTTTTTTTATAGACGCAAAAAAAATTCAACAAAAATTTGTATGGGAGTTCGCCATTGTCCTTTGGCACACATATAAGTAGGGAGTTTATTACAAATGATACTTTATATCCCGAAAATATTTTAGATTCTCGGGAACCTAATCCGAGGTTTTAGGGGGATTCTTAAAAAACTAACGCGGCTGAAGTCACGGACGGCAACTAGTATTTAATAATTTGTTTACTGTGCCTACTGCTTTGAGCCTATAATAATTTTGTAACTTATTTCTATAACATTAATAATATAACTACATTTTTACATTAAGTAAAAACAAATAAAAATTAAACTAATTAATTTTCTTAACTAAGAGGAAAAGGACTAAAGACTATGAGTCTAATAAATGAGTTTCTTTTTGTTTGTTATTACAATTTGCCGATATTCATTCTTTAAATATGATTTTCTTTTTACGGTATAAATAATTGTTACAAATACTGATGATATTCTTTTCCCTTATTAATAAACGAAGAATAAGTTTGGATATGTACATGTATGTACATTTGACTAAAGAACAAATAGTAAGTTATTTTAACTAAAAACCTTATATATAATAACTAAAATACATTATTAAAAGGAGTCCCTTTAGGTACGGTTCCAAAGATACTGGCAGCGTTCCCCCTTTGAATAGCTAGACTAATTCTTTGTCCGAGGTAGCTGCCAGCTCTTCGGTCTCCTGTGATATCGACCAACCTTTTTGCTATTTCCTTAAAAAGCCTTACAGCGTTAGGACACCACGGACCACAGTGTTAAAAACAAAGTGCTAATTGTTAGCATCTGTATTTAGAATGAATATTGGCAGGGGTTTTTACTATTTTTACAAAAAAAATATTCATAATTTTACTAAAAACTAAAGAAAAAGATACTAGTTTTCTTATCTATTGTCACGTGACCCAAAACGCTTGGGATTGGCGGAGCCTACAATGACGTCACCGGAAGATTACTTCTTCCGGTTAAAGTGACATTACATTGTATCGTTTGACGTTTTAATAACAGTCGTGTGACGTCACATACTATTAAGACGCCATATTGTCCAGAGAAACGTTTTCGCGGCAACTTGAAAATGGGAGTTTTTGATTTGGTTATTTTTACTGAAATACACAACAGAGTGATGAATAACATTTGTCAATAACGTGAGATCGTTTTCTAAAACTTGTCAAATACCCTTTTGAGTGACATGAACAAAACACGGCGTGTCTAGTCTCAGTGGTCTCAGCTTATTCCATGTTTATTAAAAAGGGCGATTAGGTATTACAATGTAACTTTGCTTTACCATCGAATTAACGATTTTTAAAAATAGCATTTGATGATTATTATTAAAGATTGACATTAAAAAGAACTTTTTCAGTTGTGATGTTCTATTGAGGCGTGACGTAGCAGATTTTTATATTCGTAGCAACATCGTAGCAGTGTAGTTACTACGATTTATTGCTGCGTATTACTACACTCTGTGAATAGGGGTGATGACGGGGTACAGTAAACGAAATTCCATTTAGTCCGTCAGTTAGATGATCAAAAAATAACGGACACGTATTTTTTCTTTGGGCAATCAACCAAAAAATGACAAAGTTATAGCGCGTCAAAGTTTGGGAGTAGGGGCTCGTGACGTCACTTTTGAGTGAATTTGTGACGTTGTACTCAAACGTGACGTCATGCGACTTTTCAAATCAATATATCTCAGCAATTATGTGAAAAAAGAAAAAATACGTGTCCAATACTTTTTGATAATCTACCTGATAAAGGAAGAAAAAAGAAATAGTCAGGATCCTATTGTCGGAGCGAAAACAACTATCTTTTTCTCAAAGAAAATCCTGGTGCGTCATTCAACAACCGGCGCTCTAGAAAGAAAAAGGAAGCAGTACCCCTAGCACGAACCAATATCGAATTCGTATGGTTTGCGAGTCCGAAAAGTCATTATCAAATGTGTTCTGATTTTTTAGTTCTCGTTACATACTTTGTGCCGCTGCTGTTCAAGTTACCATACAAAATTTGACATTGACATTTCGGTTTGCAAACTATTCGAATTCGATAATGGTTCGTGCTAGGGGTACTGAACCGAAATGTCAATGTAAAATTTTGTATGGATACTTGAACAGCAGCGGCACAAAGTACTTATCAATCAATCAACAGCCTATCTTAGTCCACTGCTGGACATAGACGTCTCCAAAAGCTCGGCACTCAGATCGATCTTGGGCTACTCGCATCCAGCTCCTGCCAAAACCTTGCGCAAATCGTCACTCCATCGCGCCTGATTACGTCCTACACGTAAAGTACGTAACGAGAACTAAAAATCAGTACACATTTGACAATGACATCTAGGACTCGCAAACGATACGAATTCGATAATGGTTCGTGCTAGGGGTACTGTTCTCTTTGGAACAACGAGGCTCCCCAGCAGTGATCCATTATCTCGATTCTTGGATCTTTATTTTCATACAGTCCACGAACATTTGAAATATGACGCCAACCGCACTCGATGAAAATCCGCCAAAAACTCGTTTCTTCTTTTTTTATATGAAAATTCAGAAATTCAGATTTGACAAGGCTGTCATTCAAATGCTCAATAACATCGCCGCGTTCTGCGTCGCAGCCTGAGATCGCAGCAAAATAACATTTTTGTGTGTACCTAATGTTGATATGAAAAATAAGAAACAGCTGCAATTCGGCAAATCTATTCGTCAACAATATTCAAGAATGTTGTAAGGTTGACGAATCAAATATCAACAGTCCGGTTTTAATTATTGTTTCTTATGTATGGCTAGATAAAATTAAAGTGGTTTGAAACGGAGCGAGAATGAAAGGCGACATAAATAGAGCCATTGTATCTCCAGAAATCGTTGGAGCAAGGTTAGAATTTAAGGTATTTCTTAGTGTCGCTGCACACGGGCCTGCACCGGCCACAACCACAAAAGGCCGCTAACGGCATATTTCCTGTAGTTTTCATACATTTTATATGGACTCGCCGCACGGTTAACGCCGGTGGCCGCCACACGCTACAAATCGTTGTTGCTCGCTTCTTGTGGCCCGCACCGGCCACTAATATACCGATACAAAACGCCGCCACACGCCACTCGCGTGATTCCCCACCTTCAAACCCTCTTCGTCAGAGTCTATTATATTCACCGACGCACGGCAAGTGTCGACCACCGGCCACAAGTGGCTGTCGCGCGCTTCAACTACCTTTGCAGCCGCTTCTAGCTTCTTGTGGCGGGGCGTTTGTGGCTGTCGCGTGTGGCCCGTGTGCGGCGACCCTTACAGTTTCTAGATAAATGGCGTTATCTATGCATATATTTAATGTAGACAGATACGGTATCAAAAGAGCCGATCTTACTTACTAAAAATAAATTTTCATTATATCATCGCCTACTCAGAGATCCAGGATTCGAGTCCTGATGGAGCACATGTTCGTATACGAGCATTTGGACTTATGTCATGGCTTTGTATTCAAGAATAATAAACGTAGAGAAACAAAAAAAATAACAATTTGTATCAATATATAACCTACACCTGGGTCACAAGTCCCGGGAACTGCTCAGAATTTCTCTCTTTTCCACACGATGGACCTGGAACCCGCACGGTGAATGCTAAGAAGTTCGTTCATGCCAAGGATTGCTAAGAAGTTAGATAGATAGATAGATAAAACTTTATTCGCACCAACATGCACACAAACAGAAATTAAGACAAATTTTACAATTATATAAATCCTTTAAAATAGGCAACAAATTATATTTATTCAACTATACTATGATATTTTCGTGTGCAGCAGCGATGCGAATGGCGAAAACTCAGCGTAACATTTACTCTGAGAGTAAATCGCTGATTTTGCAGTCCTTTTAATATGTATTTCTATATGAATATACTTATATATGTACAGAATATGTATTCTATCCTTTACTCTAGCATTCCATAACACAAGCCTTACAGTGCTTACTTTGGGGCTAGGCTAATTGGTGTGAGTGTCCGAAATATTATTATTATTATTTTTTCCCTAGTATTCCATAACATAATCCAGTGCTTACTTCTCACAAAAAGCTTTTCACATACAATACAATCGATCAAGGGCGAAAATAAAAGGTCTTTATTGATTACTCAGTGAAACGTTCAACTGTACTGTTATTATCATTATTACTGTTCGCTATCAGTAATGGTACGATTTGATTTTCTAACACTATTGATTTTTAAGAGTAGTAGTATCCGTACTGATATTATAAACGCTGTATACACATACACTGTATTTATGTACCACTTCGCTCTTAAGCCGATGAACCGATTTGGATGATGTACTTTCATAAAAAAATAATTTGAGTCCCGGGGAAGGACATTGGATATTTTTTATCCCAGAAATCAGTCTTCAGGGGGGTGAAATGGACGTAGGGGCACCCACCAGTTACCCCTTACCGTTGGTAGGACCCCCGGTTCGTTTGTCTGCATGAAGGTTTATTTGGACAGATCTATTAGAAAATGAATACCGAAAAAAGATGGAAAGATTATGAAAGATGGCATGATAACGAAAGGAGTGAATGTAGATTTAACGTTTGATCGCAAATAATGGAAGAGAAAATATTGAGCTTATCCCAAATACCTAAACTGGGAATAGGACAGGCGAATAATGATGGTATCAGTTTGTTATTTAACATTCCATTATGCTTTTAGTCTGGTTTTACCCTTAGTGCTGCACTGCAAGTGTCCATAGGCGACCACCTGCCTTCAAGGGGACTACCAGTTTGCCTGCTTAAACATAAAATAATGATGTTGCCCTTAGGTCGCGCGCCAGCAGCCGCGCGATGGAGCGCTACGAGAAGCTAGCCAAGCTGGGCGAGGGGTCGTACGGGCTGGTGTACAAGTGCCGCAACCGGGATACCGGCGAGATTGTGGCCGTCAAGAAGTTCGTGGAGAACGAGGACGATCCGCTCATCAGGAAGATAGCGCTGCGAGAGATACGCATGTTAAAGGTACGGAATATGACAGGGATTTCTTCATACAGGTATCTAGACTAAGTTCGCCTGATATTGAAGATGCAGCGCTACCAGAAGCTAGCCAAGCTGGGCGAGAGGTCGTGCAGGCTGGTTTACAAATGCCGCAACCGGGACACCGACGAGATTGTGGCCGTCAAGAAGTTCGTGGAGGACGAGGACGACCCGCTCATCACGAAGAAGGCGCTGCGAGAGATACGCATGTTAAAGGTACGGAATATGACAGGGATTCCTTCACACAGGTATCTAGACTAAGTTCGCCTGATATTGAAGAGCAGCGCTACCAGAAGCTAGCCAAGCTGGGCGAGGGGTCGTACGGGCTGGTGCGTGTACAAGTGCCGCAACCGGGACACCGGTGAGATTAGGCCGTCAAGAAGTTCATGAAGAACGAGGAGGATCCGCTCATCAGGAAGAGAGCGCTGCGGGAGATACGCATGTTAAAGGTACCGAGTATGACAGGGAATCCTTCACACATGTATCTAGGCTTAGTTATAGCAAGAAGCTAGCCAAGCTGGGCTTGGGGTCGTACGGGCTTATGTACAAGTGCCGCAACCGGGACACTAGCGAGATTATGGCCGTCAAGAAGTTAAACGGAAGTTGGACGGAAGTTAAACGAGGACGACCCACTCATCAGGAAGATAGCGCTGCGAAAGATGCTTAAGTTGCGCTGCGAGAAATATGCATGCTGAAGGTATGGCAAAAGAAGAATTACTTCACAAAGGTATCTACAACCCGGATGCCGGCGTCATTGTGGCCATCAAGCAGTTGGTGGAGAATGAGGACGATCCGGTCATCAAGAAGATAGCGCTGCGAGAGATACGCATACTGAAGGTATGGGTAAAGGAGGAATAACTTTACAAAGGTATCTACAACCAGAGATTCAAAATATTTTTTGGATATTATGCCCCCCATCAATGGGGATACTGATTATTATCACTAGAATGGTGTTCTAATCTCCCATTCTCTCCCGCAGAACCTCAAACACCCAAATCTTGTGAACTTGATCGAAGTGTTTCGCCGCAAGCGCAAGTTGCACCTAGTCTTCGAGTACTGCGACCACACTGTGTTGCATGAACTGGAGAAATATCCCTCTGTAAGTATTTCTGTCAGTTTTTTTTGTAAAATATATTTAATTAATCAAGGTATGCACCGTTGTTATCTATGCATTTTAGCCATCTCATAGGTAGTTCATTGATCCCTTAACTAAAAAAAACAATGGGGGCGAGCATCAATAAACTCTTTGAAGGCGGTTTGGACTGCCGCATGGGATAAAAAGCTGTCCAAATTCAGGAAAAAATAGTAGTCTGTTGTGTTGTGGAGCAAGATCCGGGTTAGAGCTTTGCTTACTTTTGCTGACAACTGCGAGAAGGGACAATACTGACTTCTGGTAGGTCTTCGGTGAAGTGGCGTTTTAATGTGGCTATGGAATCCTCATTTCCGGAATCGGATCGAGAAGCATGTGATGCGTATAATTGGCCGTAGAAGTCTTCCATTTCTGAAAGGACTGCCGGCTTTTAAGCAACAACTTCCCCACTTGCTGTGGTCAACATCGTCAGATGGCTTCTTGCAAGAGATTGTACGAACACTTTGGACCATCGATTCTGCTCGACCGCCCTCTCGATCGAAAGAGCATTTGAGCAGCGGAGGTAGCGTTGTACGTGCTTACTGATCTCTTGGTTAGAGTCCGCCTTGCCGACGAAGTGACGGGTGGATTTTCACGTCGTTCCTTCGTTAGCCCTAAAATCTCGTACCCTCTTCCCTGAGAATCCGAACCACATTTCGAGGTTTTGGTTTACGTCTGATGTGGTTTCCACGGTAGCAAATCGGTTCTACAGATTTGACTGGAACGTTTCAGATCCTGTTATGGATTGGAGCAGAGTAGGTCGGAGTCTGGATTTCATCAAACAGACGCGCTCGGCCTTTAAAGTTGATATTCAGAGAGCCCCGGTATTGAACCTGTAGATCACAGAGACATCTCTGAATATGTACCTCTTGTCCGTTATGATGAAATCGATCTCATTTTTAGTCTTAGCATCGGGGCTTCGTCACGTCCACTTCCTTAGGAGCTGCTTTTTGAAGAAGGAGTTCATCAAGAAGAGCCCCTCCCGTTCGAGGAAGTTGAAGAGCATATAACGTTAAAGTCCCCCATAACAACGTTGTAGTGGGTCTTAATAGTGGAGTGGAGGACCTTCGATATATAATCGATCATATCCTCCACTTCGTTATCCAAGTGTGTCGAGGTCGGTGCGTACACTTGCACCACCTTGAGACTATACCTCTGTTGAGCTTTATGATAAGGTACACTACCCTGTTCGACATGCTGGACATTTCTACAACGTTATCGGCAAGGGACTTATTTACCAAAAACCCAACGCCACCTTGGAACTGTTGTTCTCCCTCACGGAAGTACATTAGGTGATCCGCTTCGAGGGCTATGGTGCCCTCCCCCTCTCTTCGGACTACACTTAGCCCTAGAATGAGCCACCTAATCTTCTATTTTCGAGTTGCGCCAGATGCGAGTCAAGCCGTAGCGTGCGTCCATTGTACGTCACCAGGGTAAGTCTATCGTGGTGGCTTCTCGTAGCCCGGAGCTTCTTGGCATCCCCCGCCCCGCCGTTACCGTGGTCGCCACCGTGACCAGGAATAGCAGGGCCGCGGGAACTGGAAGCCGTGGCTTGTGTTTTCTGTGCATTTAAAGGTATTGCCCGTAATCGCCACGCTGGGCGATCGCAGAACTTAGGTAATTAAACTTGGTTTGCCAGAGCCTCGTCTGTTGGTCATCAGGGCTCACCACGTGAAGGTGCGGTTGGCTTGGGTTCTTGCAGGTGTACTCGTAATTAGAACCCCTTTCACCCCCACAAAATTTAATTCCCTAAAATATTAGTGTAGAGGACCTTCGAGCCATAGCCAAAAATAGGAATTTGGAAATTGTTTCCTTATAACACACAATCTGTAGAATGGTATGAAAACTTATAACATACGCCAAACAGAGCGTAACTGAATCTATATATATATGGCATAATAATATGTTTTTTTTTTGAAGTGATAACTTCTTTAGCACTGTTGTGATTTAAGATAGTACGAATAGCCGAACGGTTACGGTCTTGGGGTCGACACCAACTGATCGTTGGTTCGATCTTGAGCTCAAGTTTTAATCCGTTTTAGTGCCGCCATCTTTTTAGAAATTAAGAATTTCCTTATATGATTACGGCAGTGTTTTTGTAGCAAATAAATTTAGAAATAAGAATTTCCGATCTCTTTATCTGTAATAAATTTAATATTGCCTGCCTATGATAATAAAGGTTTTACAGTCATCTCCAATTCAACGCAGACGTATGTGTATCTGCTGTCCAAAAATTCCGCTCTGGACATTAACTTGCCATAATATAAATTTGTTACCCAACCATGAGTAGCATATGAGCATGCGTGCTTTAAATTATCTAACCTTTAAAATAGTTTGCGTATAATTCCTTAGATGGAGCGCGCGATCACAAAGTGCATTTTTCGAAACAATTTAAAGTTCACATTCACACATTTTTGCACATGCCCGTTTTATTATATGATTTGTAGCCAACAACCTAATTTTTTAAAGTTTTTTTTTAATCGGTGGTAGCATAATTGGTAAGTTCAATCGCCCGGATAGCGAAGGGTGCGGGTACAAGTCCCGTCTGTTGCCTGGTCCGCGTGGATTTTTTTCCAGTAATATTTTCTTTAAACCGAATATCTATAAATTAAGTACTGAGTAGGTAGGTATGAGCTATACCTACCTACTCAGTACTTATTTTTTCTCTATACTTTATTTTCTATCATAATATTACTCGTTCGTGCAGCTGTTGGCAAAGCTTTCAGTTTAATTAAAACCACTTTTATAAAATAAAATAGAAACTGTAACTTTCTTATCGGGAAAAGTGGACGGTTGAAAGAAAGGGGAATGACCGCTTAAATTGTCCTCCGTTATTTAAAGGACATTGGCCCTTATTGTTATGGAAACGTAACGATAAATTACCTTCGTATTGTATATGTTACCGGCCAAACCCGATTTCAGGACAAACTAGTTTTGCCTAGGCTAAACTAGTTCTTCCTATACGCGGTAGGATTAATTAGTATAGCCTAGTCTAAACTAATTTGTCCTAAGCCCGATAGGATAAACCAGTTTAGCCTAGGCCAAACTGGCCAAAGATCCTGATATAAATACGTACACTCTAGGATAATCTAGTACGGCCTAGTCTATACAAATTTAGCAGAGTCGAAAGTAATTGAACAAATATGTCAGAACTTGTACAGGTTGCGTCATGTAAAAAGAACGCTGGAAGAAAGTGGAGGGAGTGTGTATGCGCATAGATGCAGCTGCAACAAAAACTGTTTCATAAACAGTTGCCAATGATGGCACTGATACTCTGCAATTCAAGAAGGCAAGAAGACAATGATACTCTGCAATTCTAAGTGGCACCAAAGCACACCATGTAAAAATAAATAACAATTTTAATAATTGAGATATTATTATTGCTTCTATTAAAAAAACACATATTATTTGTTATAGTATGATTGCTTTTATTACTAATTATCCAAAACTTTTAACGATGAATCATTATCGTTTTAATAAAAAATATTATTTTTCCAATTACGGAGTATTTTATTCATTTTATCTATTTATTTTGACTTTCTAGATATACTATAATGATTAGACTAGGCCATACTAGTTTATCCTAGAGTATGCGTATTTATATCAGGATCAACGACTTTGGCCTAGGCTAAACTGGTTTATCCTATCGGGCTTAGGACAAATTAGTTTGGACTAGGCTATACTAGTTAATCCTATCGCGTATAGGAAGACCTAGTTTAGCCTAGGCAAAACTAGTTTGTCCTGAAATCGGGTTTGGCCGGTAACATATACACTTAGTTAGAACAGGCAACTTAAAATGGATTGAATTTTCAAAATATTTTGTTTTTTTTTACGTACAATTGAGGTATGTCATGTCCCTCCTCCTTTTACGGTGTTACCAAGGGCGGATCCAGCTTTCGCGCCAGTCATATAGTCGTGGTCAAGTAACAGTGGGTACAGATTGAGAAGTACAGATTGTAAAGTGGGTACAAATGGACCCAGCCCAGGGGGGAGGGGTCATGACCCCCATGACACCCCCCCTGGATCCGCCCTTGGGTGTTACCTATAGCACGGCATGGTCCACGAAACTCAGCGGCATGGCTTTTCAATGTACTTTACCACAGAAAGAGGTTAGTAAGCCTTGTGTGCGGGGCGGGCGCGCCACAGTTAAGTGTGAGCAAATCATGGGGCAAATATTAAGAAGAGCTGTTGACAATGCAATGTCGCAGAGCTTCTACCGATGTTGCCTGACAATATTTCAGCCACACAGCGCAAGCGGTGCTGATATCAGTTCGACGAATTAAATAACCGTATAACAAAACGTAAAAAAGTTTGCACAAATTTTGAAACAATATTTATTGAATAAAACTTTCTGTAGTATGCAAGAGTTTTTTGATGAAAGGTATTAGTTTGTACTTGTAATCTAAAATTAATTTAATTTACTGTGATTGATTATATTATCCATTGTGTTGTATATTGATATTGTAGTGCCCTTACAGGGTTCATGTTCGGATCTGAAACTAAATCTTAAGAACTTGTAATTAGCACATGAAACAATAAATAATATTGAATTGAATTGATTACAGTTTTCGTGTGATAAACGTAAACGTGTTTGAAAAATTCTTTTTATTTTCCTGTGATCCTTGCACGGTGCCTGGGACTAATTTATTCATTTTGAGTGATTTCTATAGACAATAAAAATTAATTGATAAGGTCTAGGACGCACTACAGTTTTTCCGCAAGCGGTAAACCGCCAAACCGCCCGAAACGCACACACTACGATTAAAATCGCGAAACGAGGCACAATTAAATAAATGGTCTATGGTCACCCTTCTAACCTCTTTCCGTGTTGTGTACTTTACTAAGTAAATGACTTAGTTTAATTACTTATTTTTAATAGTTTTGTTTTGATGAAGTTTTTTTACTTATATGTTTGTTAAAAAGTTTAAGTTAAATATCTACACAATGATAACAGTTGAATATTTGTTTAC